GTAATATTAGACTCCTACAAAATCCAAATCAAAAGATAAGGGGATTACGTAGAAAACTGAGTCAGTCTCATCCAAAAAAGAGGTACGTTGATATATACATAGAAAAATTTAATTCACGATCTTATACTTCACCTAACTTATATGCATTTGATCTTTAGATTCACGCTAAAGAGATGGAACAAGTAAATATGAGTAAGAATCCTGAAATTGGCAACATGTCCACACAAAAAAAGGATGTTGCAAAATCTTCGACTAGAAAAAAGCCTCCTTCTCGGTATAGGTAGTACCTTCAGACATTAGTGGGAATATCATATTTGGCTGACAGAGGTGCTCGTAATATACTTATGGATGAAGGTATTTTTGGTTTTTCCTATTACGAAACAATTAGTAAAGAGGATGTGGATCAAGTTCTTAGACGTTAGGAATTAGGCCTCGGTGTTATTGATACATATATTAGGTATACTCCGATCAAATTTATTTAATTAATTGAAAAATTTATCTACTCAATTCAATGAATGGTCTTAATGTTAATGATGTTTTTATTTAAGTTTCATGTATGCCAACTTGATTCGCCCGCATCAACTAGACCAAAGATTATGTTTCTTATCTCCAAACAATATCAACTCACTATTAAATCAAACAAAGACCAGATGAAGTCAAAGAGTACTTTGTCTGTGTATTTATAGCCAAAAAAGATATAAAAAAATTGTTTTTTACCATTTAATACTGGCAATGGGTAATATTTTCATTCAAACTTCATCTATTATAATTTTTCGTGTTTTGACGTTGTGTAGAAAGTTTCCATCTAACCTTTGTTAATCTTACAGTGGACACTGATTGTTGGTTAGGATTAATCAAATAAGAGAAATTGTATTTTATCTGGATTTGTTAGAAGGTGATTAGACAAAGTACCCAAATATTAAGGAGATTGTTGATACGTAAGTTATATTGTTCTAAATCTTCGTTTGTATACTTATTTATTTATTTACTTATGTGAGATTGTTCTAAATATTCATTTATATTTTGTTAGAGTTATACAAATTTTTCGATCACAAAGAGATACTCAAGTACCAAAGGTAAAGCAAACAACATTACATGAATCATAGTGCATGTATATTCTCACAATTTTGATTATAGTAGTGACACTGTTTGATAAAACAAGTTAAACTATATATCCTGATATGTATTCATATTTTTTCCATGTGTAGTATCCTCGTCAGCGTAATAATATAGATTGCGGTTATTTCATGTTGAGGTTTATGAAAGAAATTATTCTTTTGAATCAAATAGAGATTCCAACTATGGTATGAGTTTCTAACTTATGATTTATTTTAATATATTTAACACATTTCATCTAATTAATTAGTTTTAACTAAATCATATTATGTTATATTATGTAGTACTTTGATGAATACAAGTCTTCTACTTACTCGAAAGATCAATTAGAAGAAATTAAGGAGGATTGGTCTCAATACATTATTGAGATGAGAATTTTATAAGGTATTGTGACACTTTTATTGATAAGAATTTTGAGTATATATAGGTTTGAGTTTTGATGAGATACTATGTCGTCATTAGTGTGGTAAATTATGTTTCAATATTTTTTTTGTTATGTGGAAGATTAGTTAGGATGATATTGGATTCTAATTCAAATAAAGTTTTGTTTGTATCATGGTATGAGTCGAGGAATTTTTAATGGTGGGTTATAACGGATTCTTGATTTGTTTTTGTTACATTGATTTGTGTTAAATTATAATAGTTATAATACTTAAGTGTTATATAGCTTGATTCTGATATGACTTTGTTGATTTTGTTTCAGGTAGGTGCATATGTAGAAGATATAGAGATAACAAGTTCATTTAGGATTCTTCATTGTTATTGTTTGTAGTGAAGATAGTAGAGAAGATAACAACTCTAGAAGATAGTAATATGTATATTTGGTGCATACTAATTGGATTATAAAGCTGTATATATAAATATGTAAATTTATGTATGTATAAATTATTTAATTCTTCAAGTTGTGTCCCATTTATGTATATATAAATTTTTGGATTAAAGTTGTATATATAAATATGTAAATTTGGTGCATACTTATTGGATTGAAGCTGCAAATTTATGAAATCTGGTGTATATTTGAAAGACATCGCTTAAATTTTAAGTGATTATTTGTACAGGGTGCTTAAAATATAAGATGTGTATATTAAAAAACCCGTGAATATTAGATAACGCTTTAAACAAAAAAGCATTGCCTATATTGGGGAATAGAAAGCGCTTTTAGAGAAAACGCTGCCTAAAGGGGTGCATACAAATGCGCTTGTGAAGTACAAAGTGCTGCCTAAAAGGGACTTTAGAAAGCGTTTTTAAAGAAAGCGCTGCCTAAAACATAAAAAAAAGTGAACAAAAATATACATTACACAACGCTTTTAAAAGCGTTGTCTGAAGTGAAAGTGCTGCTATAGGCACACTTTAGAAGCGCTTCTAATGTAAAAAGCGCTGCCTGTTGAGGCCTTTAGAAAGCGCTTATTGAATAAAACGTTTTCTAAAGGCTACATTAAGCAACACTTTTACATTGGCAAAAAATGATGTCTTTACTTACAGCAGCGCAAGAATATACATCACTTGTAAGCGTTGTCTATTGCAAAAAAGCAATGCCTATTCCCTTATATGGCATAATGTATCCAACATTAGAAAATGATGTCAAGACAGATGTTACAACATATCTACACAGACTGAACAACGATATCAAACTGAAATAATATGCATAATGATAAAGAACACAGTCAATTGTTAATCCAGTTCGGTGCAATATCACCTACATCTAGGGGCAACCAAAATAGGAAGAAAATTCCTCCTTAAATTTTGGAACAAATCTTCAAGTATCCTAAATTTTCTCAACCACCAAATTTAGAAACGTTAATGATGTTGGAGATTTAATTCACTTGTTCAAGATTACATCTTCTTGACCTGTGAAAATAACTGAGATATATCCAAAAGGAATCTCAGAAAATCAAATCAGTCAAGAAAATACACAACAGTCACTACTGTATAACAGACCATGATGTCAGAACATCTGGTTTGACATCTACAAAATAGCATGACAGCAGATCCTTCCATGACAGTTGGTCAAGATGTTATAACATCTTTCTCAACATTAGTAAGAATCATGTTTTAACAAAATTTAGTCAATCACAAAATCATGGAAATAACATATTGATTTAACCTAATTTGGAAGGTTTTGAAATAGAGTCATTTCCATTATCTAATTTATTAGGCACTTATTAAACGATTATAGACTTGTTTTCTCTTTATCTAATTGATTAGGCACGTGCAGAAGCCCGCTTAGCGCACTTGACAGCAAGGAGAAAAATCATTTCTTATTTTCGCCATAACTTGAGAATCGTAACTCTGATTTACGCTGATCAGAAGCGTTGGAAAGCTCATTCAATGCTCTATATTACAATGACTAAATATCATTGCTTGAATAACTACAAAAATGAGATAAAAAAACAATTAAACACAATGGTATTTACATGATAATTCAATATATACATTATAACGTAAATTATACCAAATATACACTAAAGTTGAGGTTTGTTGACGAAAAGCAAACAAGTTACGCCGATGAGTGTTAATTATTCACACTCAAATTCACAATAATTTAGCACTCATCAAACTCTCTCCAATTTAGACTCGTTTGTCCTCAAACAAGAAACAATCAACCTAAAGAAACAAAAGTAATTGCTAAGAATAATGATCAACAAGTATTTTCAAATAGAAACAAATGTATGACTCAATATCAAAAGTACACGCAAAGAAATGCTTACCACTAAACTACAATGAAACCATGATTATGAAAACATCAATTCCAATTATGCATTCATCTAGCAAACCATATTGTTTCCGTGACTCTTCTAAACATACCATATGTCCTTTTCGTCTAAATAGAGACGGAAAAAAAATTAAAAATCAATCATTAAATTTGTCATAAATTAAACGAAAATAACTAAATTATATATTTTAAATAATTAAGAGATTAAAATGAATTTCGAAATTACCTTAAGAGATCAAACTAAAATATTATTATTTCATTTGTGAAGACTTTTTTTAAAAATAATTTATAGATTTTATCATGTAGTATGAAATGGTAAAGAAGTAGAAATGGAAAAGTTATCTACTAGAGTTTCAATATATATCTACAGAAATATGATAAATATAGTATAATGTTACTTTATTAAAGTTAAAAGTTGTTTTCTAGTATTGATAAAACGGTAAAACTACAAAAGTAAAAAGAATTAATATTTGACATCCATGTTAAATTGTTATCATCTCCAACTAAATAATGTTAAATTGTTTATTAATAAAAAGTAAATGATAAATTAAATAAATTTCAATTAGCCATGAAATAGAACTTGGTGGACGTGTCATAAAATGATAGATACAAGGATTAGTTGGTGGAATTGCTTCAACTATGTTCCAATAGTGTCTGTTTCCTTAAATTCTAACCATTTATATTTTCAACTTCATCTTTTTTTTTTAATCTTTCATCACTAACCTTTTTCTGAATCTCGCATACAAGTTTCCTGATACAATATTCAGAAAACAACAACTCACTCTTTATGGCTGGCTTTCTTGAATAACAAGGCATATGTTCATGCAAGTTTTAAGTGGTAAGTAGAGTTCAACGTATATGTTTCTCTTTTGTTGCTTTTTGTTCCTATACTTTTGAAATTATTGGTACTAGAAATCTTAGATTAATAGCTTGACAAGGTTCAAATACATGAGTAGTATAGAGCCATATCTATGTCTGTTATTATGAAAATGCATAATTAAACATTGATAAACAAGAGTTCTGAATACAAAGAAACACAGTTTGCAGCTTACATGACAGTAACTTCTAAACACTTATCTTCAACTCAAAAGTTGTAAATAGTAATACTATAGTAGTTACAATGTGAATGTGCTGCCCTAAACCAAAATAATTATTAATTGATTAACTAGCATCAACATAGTGATGGAAGCTTCATAACATTTATGAGATCTTCTTCTAGGCATCCCCACTCCAAAGTGTTACAATTTGTTTTTTCAACTGAAAAGTCAATAGGACTATTTTCACTACATAAATTATAATCCGAAATATCGATGTTAGTGTCGTCTTCCAAATTATAATCCGAAACATCAACAAATGGCTCTGTCTGTTGTGAACTCATTTGACTTGTTTTGTCAGAATCTGATACCGGCAAAGAATTATTGGGAAGTGGAAGAAACTGAGGTTCCATTTTCGTGTTTTTTGTATACCAATCATAATCCGAAATGCTTGTGCTTTTGGAAGAAGCAGATCCAATAAAAGGGCAGTTAGTAGCCCTAATGTTATGGAAGTCGAAAGTTGTTGCCAATGCAGGTGGAGTTGTAGATTGCTTAACAAGAGTTGGAAAAGTAGAGGTTTGATGATATATAGGAAAGGTGGATGGTGGTGGATGGATGTTGATATTTTGAGAACGAGTAGCACTGACTCTACTCATGTTCAAACTGGCTGGAGAGTAAATTTCTGTGTGAGATTGGTGGAGAGGCATTTTGTTAGGGAAGAGTAAAGGTGATGTTTGATTTATAGGAAAATGGTATGATGGATGAATGTTAAACGAGTTGTTGATGATGTTTTGAGACTGAGTTGGAAAAGTAGAGGTGTGATGATATATAGGAAAGGTGGATGGTGGTGGATGGTTTTTGATGCTTTGAGATTGAACTAGTGTTGAAGGACTGACTCCACTGATGTTGAAACCAGGTGGAGAGTAAATTTGCACAGGAACCGTATGAGATTGATGGAGAGTGATTTTGTTAGGGAGTAAACTTGGTGGATGGATGTGTAAGGAGGTGTTGATGATGTTTTGAGATTGAGTAGGTTGTTGAATGAGTGTTGAACTTGAAGGAACCCTATCAGCTTGATGTACTGCCTTTTTGTTATGGAGTCTATATTTCTGCATCACACAATATAATTAAGTCACTTTAATCGGTCAGCACCCTCTAACAAAGATTTAAAGAATTGTGCAACAGAAAATTCATCAAGAATTATGCAACAGAAAATTCATCAAGATTCATCAAGAATCATCAAGATTCATCGAGAATCATCAAGCATCATCCAGAACAATGATCAGCAATACATACATAAGGAAAAATATTCATCAAGATATATACCTGGAGATGACTTGCGACATGAGCGGTAGTAATACCATCAACATTCATCAATGCAACAATTTTTCTTGGAACAACATCTGCAAACAACAAATAGAATCTTGTATTAGCTAGGAATTATTCAAACAATTGAATGAGTGAAACAACAAGTATATTATCCTGTTAGGGTTTGTAAATAACGAAACGCACCGTGTAACCCAAGTGTATTAACAGCTTCAACAAACTTCGCATGAAGATCATGAGACCAAACCACACGACGTGCTTTCTTAACATTATGTGACAAACAGTCATTGTCATCATCTTGTTCTTTCTTCCTTTTACCCATTCCTTTAATCACGGCAGCCATGTTAGTAAAAGTTGAAGTGAATGTAATACTATATCTAGAGAGCTTGTGTTATATATAAGAAGTAAGTTCACTCCTCAATCCACCGACTTAACTTTGACAAATAAAGAACAGTTCCTTTGTTTAAGTGACCATTGCATTAACCAAACCAAAGGTATATGCCACAAATCCTCATATTAAATAAATGATAATATTAAATATATTTTAGAATTTAAATTTACTAATAATAATAATATTAAAAATGATTAAATGAAATATATAATTCAATTAAATGAAGTCAACTATTATAGTCAAAATACCCTAAAAAAAAGCACTATATTATGTTTCTCACTTTATTATTATTATTATTATTATTATTATTATTATTATTATTATTATTATTATTATTATTATTATTATTATTATTATTATTATTATTATTATTATTATTATTATTATTATTATTATTATTATTATTATTATTATTATTATTATTATTATTATTATTGTTATTATTATTATTATTGTTATTCTTATTGTTATTATTATTATTATTATTATTATTATTATTATTATTAAAAATATCTCACTTATTATTATTGTTATTATTAATATTATTATTATTATTACTATTATTATTATTATTATTATTATTATTATTGTCATTATTATTATTATTATTATTAAAAATACCTCACTTGTATCTGTATTAGATTGTAACCCTACTTACATTTGAATCCATATTATAATGTGCATGCTCAACATGATTACCACCTTGATAGAAAACCCCATTTTTAATGCTGATGTCGGAACTGATGTTCTAGACAATTGGACTAGACCTTCTATCCAATCATCATGGTACCTGGTTGAAATTACCTTCCAAGTAACACAACATCATAGAATAACCCTTCATCAGAAACCATATCATAATGCTCCCCCTTTATCTTACTCCCAGCAGGTGATGACTTGAACTTATACATAGACTGTCACCTTCAAGTTAACTCTCTTGATAAGAGACATGCGAATATTCTAATCCAACTTATCTTCTAACAATTCTTCTTCCAAAGAGCTGAACACATTTGATATAACAAGAGAATTTATGAAAGGTCATGAATTTCTTTCATCATCTTTCTTCTTCAAGCTATTAGGAAGAGATGTTAAGCATCTGGACATCTACACCTTAGATGTGCCTAATAGAGATCTTGAGATAATCCTAATAAAATTTGGCCATAGCATACACCCTTATCAGCCTGATAGATCTTTATTAATTTTCTGAACAAAGATAAGAAACAGCTCAACCTATTATGGCTTCCAAGAACAGTTATTTCTTTAGCCTTAACACCAGAAACACCAACTATGAACTACCAAAGTTCTTCCATCAGAGGAATATGCATCAGAAGACAAATCAAAATAGCCTCAACATACTCCAGGAAGGATGTCAAGACATCTTATAGAACATCATGCATAAATACAACCATCTGTAGTTGTAACACTGAATCCGAGAAAGCTATAATCATGGCTTTCTAATAGCCAAATAGTACCAGAAAAAAAATCCCTGAAGCTTACCCAATAAACAGACCAGAGTGTCTGCTCTGATGCCAATTGAAATTCTAGCACTAGTACACCCATGTTCATACTGATATCACTATGCCAAAACTGCTTTAAGGCATCACACCTTAGACAACGCTTCTGAATCAAAGCGCTGTTAAATATCCCGATAAAGTTTTTATTTTTAAAACTAAATACATTAGACAATGCTTTATAAAAAAACGCTGCCTAAAGTTAAGAAAAAGCATTGCCTTAGGTTCACTAATGAAAGCGTTGCTATATGCCCAATAGTAGAAAACGCTGCCATAGGCCCAAAGTGCACTATAGACAACGCTTTCTTCTAGAAGCGCTACTATAGATTTAAAAGAAATTTCAGATAAAGCGCTGCTAAAGGCTTACTTTAGAAAGCGCTTGTAGGAAGCGCTGCTTAAGGCGATACATACCCATAAAGCGCTGCTATAGATTTAAAAGAAATTTGTGAAAAAATGTTGCTAAAGGCTTACTTTAGAAAGAGCTTGTATGAAGCGCTGCTTAAGGCCATACATACACAAAGCACTTCTAAAGGATGTATTTAGAAAGCGCTTTATATAAGTGCTGCTATAGGGCATACATCAGAAAGTGCTTTTTATTGAAAAAGAGCTGCTAAAGGAAATATATCAGAAAGCGCTTCTAGAAGCATTGCCTAAGGTCATTAATTTATAATTTCTAATTAAATTAAAAATACAAAAACCCTAAAAGTCAGAATTTTTTCGTTATTCTCTCAAAACAACTATCTCAAAACATCTTTGTAACTCCATCATTATTCTCTATAACATCTCTCAAAAGATTGTGAACCGGCGGAAATCTAGATTTAACAATACCATATGTATCTCTTTCAACTCCATATCTATCTCTCCGGTCTTCTCCCGTCCAACATACTGAACATCAAACATACTGTCTTCATCAGTTATCACGACCTTCTCCTCCCTCAGTCGATTTCACCTGCCAACAACACTCTTCATCTTGCTCATCCGTGTGCCTACCTCAGCTCTCTATTATTTCAATTTTGTTTTCCATCGTCTCAATTTATATTGCGATAATTTCTCCGCCATATTCTAGTAACAACACAAGCGCACCTTCGTCAACGGCATCCCTTCGCCGTTGTTTCACTTTTGACAACTTTGAATCAATAAGGTCAGTTCACTTCACTTTCATATCTCAATCTGTTTTGACTTGTGCGAATCTGGATATTGAAACTTGTTATCATGACATTTGTGAAAAAAATATTCTGGTAGTAGAGTTAGGTGTTTTATTTCTCAATGGCTGTGTTAGAACTGTTATAATGCCTAAGGTCAAATTTTGCTTAAATATGTTGTTTGTTGTGTCAGGATATGTTGAAATAATTATGAGTACAAATAGATAGAAAAGTATAGGTAACCAAAACAAATTTTTAAAAGTTTAGTTACAAACATCATTGTACTTTAATAGATTATAACAATCTTAATTTTTATAAGGCACGATGAAGAAAAGGTTTCTGGAAATAGGAAAGCAAAAAAAGGCTCAACAAAACATGTTGTTTATACTATGGTGCATTCACAAGTATAGATTTCAAGATCTTTGATACTATATAATTCATTCGAACCTGCCAACTCTTGCATCTCATTCTCCTTTCTTTTAAATTTCTTCTCTGCATAGCAAAAGAAATTAAAGAGACAAAAATAATGGACTTGATTTAAAAGTATGTAATCAATTATTTTTTAGTATATGTTTAAATATGATTTTACAAAATTTTGGTTGTAACATTGGTTACTTTGCCATTTTATATGTAGTTGCTTCCCGATTTCATAGTCGCTTTCACAATTTCTTATTTCTCTTCTGAAGAGTGAAATTATGATCGTTCCAAGAATCTTACAAGGCATGGTTCCAGAAGTTGCTGACTTCTCTACAGGTAATTAGTTGTTCTTTTGTTATAGATGAGGGATTAATTATAGTGTTTTTATTTAGCTTACTTAGTAGTAAAACCATGGATAAAAATGGATGTCTTTCAATCGATTGTCAAAATATTATGAGAATAGGGTATTAGAATTCATTCTGTTTGATGTTGAACATGCCGAAATACCCAGTCGAATGAAATATCCTTTCTTTGGTTGTTGTTATGGGGGTCGGGTTGATGCAGTTGGGTTGGAATCACATTTACTGAGTGTGATACGATGGGAGAACTGACTTGAAGTTTCGCGTTTGTGTTCGCAAATGTTTCGGTTTAGCAAGAGTTGCCACCGACTTTTTATTTTATCCTAAGGAAAGGTCAAAAAGCACAGGAAAGACCTTTGAGATGTTTTCTTGGGTTCGGGGAGTAGATTATAGAAAGGGAATGTATTAGCACCCTTTCTATCCATGGTTATCCATGGGCTCTTAGTTACTTGTTTAGATCACTTGCTTTGCTTTTCAATTGTTTGAAATGGTGCTTTGTGTGTGGTTTTAAAAGATGTTTTGAAAAGAGGCCATTGTTGTGGCAACCTTTGTAATGATTCTTGTTTGAATGTATACAAAGATGTTTTTGTCTTTTGAAAAGTTTCCAATGTTTGAAAGTAGGGTTTGAAATTGTGTGGTGAACTGTGTTTTAAAAATAGCAAGGATGTTTTTTTGCAAGCTTTTGATCAAGTAACTAAGAGCTATCTACCCTATTTTACTCAAAGATTTTTCCTTATGTTTTTAACCCTTTTAACAGTGTTGCTTCACCATTGTATTTGGTGAACAACCTTGTGTTAGGATGTTAAACGGGACAGGCGCGGGTCATCGTATAGACCATGATAGCAATTGTGTCAAGTATTTTTGGAAATTTTCTTGAGGGACTTGATCATTTTTGTTTAGGAAACTCAGATAGCGTCATCGAGGGACTATGATATTTTGTTTTGTTTTTGCTTTGCCAAAGTAATTGACATGCATACCATGGCCCATTTTTGAAGGCAACAAGTGGATTGTAACCCTAGGGGTGAAAGTGTGCATTGTGTTTGTTTTTCATGCATTTTTGTCTTTGATTAGGTCAAACTATTAGTTGGTTTTGATTTTGCATACAAACCCTAATTCTAATCATGGCATAATTGAAAGCACTTAAATGCGTAAAAATAAATCTAAGCTATTACAACTTTGATATAGGGAGGGGGTACAATTTTGAATAAGGGGGTATTTGACAAGAAATATAAAACCCTAATTACTATTACATCCAAATTGAATTCTTTGTGCAAATAATATTTAAATGTACAATATTTAATTAAACAAGATAAATAAATATTAAACAAAATGTATTATGCAAAAAAAGAGTTTTTATTTATTCATGTATGCAAAAGTATTTTTAATGGAAATAATGTAAAGAGTTAAAATAAAAAAAGTTAATTTTATTTATTTTTTAGGGTAAACCCTAATTCTCCTTAAAGAAAATAAGATTGTATTATTTATATACAAAAATATATATGAAAGTGAAATATATCTAAAAAGGT